TGTCATATTCTTATATATTTTTTATTATATTGCTGCATCTGTTGCTGCTTAAAGTGCCTTAGATTTTGTGTTACTTATTTATCTACTTTATATTTCATTTGTATTTTGTGGCATTCATGCGGACGGCAAAGTAAGAATTTCATTGTACAGGGAAACATGTTTCCTAACTGTGCATATGACAAAATAAACACTTTGAACTTTGAACATTGAACTTCTGATGTTAAGGGCATGAAACAAATTTAAGGAACAGGAAGACTCAGCTGTTTATAACCAAAATACAAACTGGCTACATGAATGCATTATGTCCTGCCTCCTGTGTGTTCTACCCAGGCACGTCCCCCTAGCATAAACCAAACACCGTATTTCCAGCAGGTGAGAACATGTCTGACATGGACTACCTCTTACTGCATGCTACATGTGTGAAAAGGCAACTCTAAACAAAGTCCAGGCCTGATTTTGTGGACATACGAGGTGTGTCAGAAAGGTTCCAGGACTGAGTGTGCTGTGTGAGCTATGAGGGATTAGCGAGTTGCGTCACCATGTGACGTAATATCTGGGGTGTGTATAACTGCAATCTCAGCTCTCTGCAGCCATTGTATGCTTTTTCAGATGCTCTTGTTAACAGCTACTCAAGTTTAAATCATCAAGCAATGAGCACAGAGCAATGAATCAACTCGAAGTTTCTGGTCTGGCTGGGGAAAACTCAGAGATCCTGTGCCGTTTGTTTTGTTCTGTGCATGAGAGGAGGTGAGATTTGTGACAGGACAAGTCATGGCTGCTTCATCGGGACAACATGCCGGCTCACAATGCCCTGAGCATCCGGCAGTTCCTGTTCAAGAAGAACATCTCCGTGCTGAAGCAACCTCCCTACTCACCTGACCTGGCTCTGTGTGATTTTTTTTCCTTTTCCCCAAGTTCAAAGGGGTCATCAAGGGGACCCATTTTCCAGACTTGAAGCCATCAAGAGGGCCGTGATGATAAAGCTGCAGAGAATTCCAGGAGAATTCTCTGCAGTGCATGGAGGTGTGGCGGACTAGGATGGAAATGTGCATTAGACTTGAGGGGGATTACTTCAAAGGGGAAAACTTGCAGTTTGTATACATTTTTTGTAATAAATCCTGGAACTTTTCTGACGCACCTCATGTTTCATGTGTGAAAATGGCTTGCATCCACAGAGCTGCCTTGTTCCTTCATTTATCCCCACAATAGATCTCTGTCGCATCTCTGTCATGCATTTGGGTCCTCCAGTACTTGGCTTTTTGACAAGGACTAACATTTTACTGTCTGATGCTAAACAGGAAATTGTATAGTGCACAGGCAGTACAGTGGCTTGCAACCTGATCACACGGGTATGCTGATGTGTTAACTCACCAGCCACCGTAGGCGAATAGACCACTGTACAGTGCCAGGCCAATGCTGCCAAACTCATATTTGGACCCCTTGAAAGAATTCTCTGGAAGAAGACCATCTGTTTCACCTGGAGAAGATGAAGGAAGAACAGCGAGACAGACTTGGGTTAATAACCAAAAAATAAACACAATTCCCCCTGTCTGCATTATTGCAAGCAAGTTATCCAGCCAGTCTGGAGGACCTGAGATGTACCACAGTAAATGAAAATACAATAAATAAAACATCTGGTGGGGGGAAAAAAAGAGAAATATTTAGCTTAAATCTTAGTGTGAGCAACAGCAGAATATAATGGGGTTATGGCAGGGTGGGATGGTCAATAACTGACCCAGACTGGCATTATTCTGTGGATCAACCTCAGGCAAGAATACATCACACAGCAGACAAATCAATGGGGCAAGAGGAGACGGCGCTAGTGGTGGAAGGGCAACAGTAGTTGTATTACTTTAATTTCTCAGCCATTCTGAGGATTTATATTTGCAGCCCCTCTCCTCGGACCTCCAGGTGTCTGCTTCATGGGGATCTGTGCCACATTCCTGACAGAACAGTGTGCGCACACATTCTCAGACATAGCAACGGTTGCTAAACCAACAGCCCTGGGCAGTGTTGGTACTGGCAGGGGTAGTCCTAAACTATTGTGGATTGTGGGAAAATGCCTGATTACTGAGCAGCCTATCTGAATAACTGTCTCAGGTTGTACCCTTCATATAAGCAGAGACAGATGTGGGACCACAGTCTCCTGAGACCCCGCTCCCTCTGTCTGGCCAGTGCTGCTCAGTGTTGGGGGGGTCTCTGGGGCCTGGGTAAGTACATTTTTTGCTAATTGACTTTTACTTATAACAGTTTTACAGTAGGACAACTTAATTAAAATTGTTTACTTCTTCCACCTCTGCTCATGCCAACACCCAAATTTTCCATCAGGTGCATTGATATTAGCATCCTCAATGTTAAAATGGGTTTAATTAAGAAAGAAAAAAAGAGCAGACTGCTGTGAGTTGACCATATTTAATCTGTATCTCAAGCCAATAAAATAGTAATACTTGACATGCATGTTCATCTAAACTAGACAATTGTGTTGTTGTGGTTATCTTGCCTTCAGAGTTGTATGTGTTTAAGACAAACAAAATGCTATAATGTAACACCTTGTGTCTGTGCCATGTCTACTTATAAACCCCTACTGCGTCATGATTTCCACATCTCCACCTGGCCTTTAAGGGTTTCTCTGGGTACATCTCATGTCTCTTATAAAATCATTCCTACATCCTCGGTTGACCCAGAAGGACTTTCAGGCTGACCGGGGATGACTCTTATATTGGCTCTGAAGAGCGAGGATGGTGCTGGAGGAGCCATGAACGAGGAAAAATGCTTTGCAGAGAAGCCCATCCTTTGCAGAAGTTATTGTGAACTGACAAGCCTCTTTATCTGAAATTAGTTGGTAGGTAGGTAGGTACTGTAGGTGGGTACTTTATTGATCCCACAGTGGGGAAATTTCTGTGTTACAGCAGCAATAGAGAACAACCAACATAACACCATAAGGACAGACACCACCATAAGAACAGAACTTCATAAAAACAGAACACAACGATGACACAGCTGCTGTAACTTGCTGCCACTCCACACGGCGCAACAAAGAACAATTAGTCTTAAAATAAATGTTACATAAAGGCAACAAAGCATCAGAACCGATACACACAAGTAGCGTCATCAGAACGTCGACGCTGTGTGTATCTGTGACTGGATAGTATTTGGTGACTGGACACTTCAGAAGAAGGATCTGAGGAAAGGACATCTCATGTCATAACACGTTTCCTCGAGTCCTCTCTCCTCACGTTTTCCTCGCATCTTACATGGGCGGGATTAAGACACAAGGAAAAGAAGCAAGTGAGAAACAATGGTCCTTATAAGAGACATGAGATGTACCCTCTGTCTAACATCTTACCTCACAACTCCTGAAAGTTCCCCCACTCTTAGTATACTGCTTTTTATACAATTGTTATTGTTTATTGGCACAAAGACAGTTTCTTCCCCCGGGCTGTCACTCTGATGAACACTTGACCCACGAAAGTATGACTGGACAACAGCCTGTAAATATACATTGTACAGACTATAGATTTGTACAGGTCTCTAGTTCTAAGTACTCTATTTTTATTCCTATTTATCTCATTTCAATGAACATTCCTTTGTCTGTCTGCATTGTTTACTGCCTGTTTATACTGCTTTTTCTGCATTGTTTGCACTATTTGTTGATGTTAATACTGCTATTTTGTTATATTACACAGCCTTATGCTGGCTTACTGTTTACTTGCCTCTTGCATGGGGATATGTACATACACATTAAGAGCCGATGTACCAGTGTCAAATTCCTCGTGTGTCCGACACATCTGGCTAATAAAGCAGATTCTGATTCTGTTTAGTTGACATAAAACTGGAGAAAATGTAACAGAACAGGGTTAAAACTATATTTTGAGCTTCTAGACCTGCTCCTGCCAGTGCAAACTAGTTTCTCAATAGGCACACACACATCTCTCTCTTCCACTCATGCCCTTTCTCTCTGTATAATGCCAGCCTCTCTCCATCCCAACTCACTCCCTCTAACTGATCTCTTTTTTCTCCCCACCTTCTCTCTAGCCTCACCAACGTTCCTCCCTCGGCTCCATCTTTACTTTATACTTTATTGTCATTGTACATGAGTACAATGAAATTAGATGTGCCACATCTGATCAGTGCAATATAAAAACATCAAATCTAAAATATCCAATCTCACGGCCAGAATAACCACATCCACACAAACATAAAGCAATAAATTATTTCTAATTATATATATTAAAATACTGAGTGAAGGTATCAAATTATTACACACAGTTGTAATTAACAGCATTCACAATTTGAATAGCCCAAGGATAAAAGCTGTTTATAAGTCTATTAAGTCCTGCTTTTCAAGCGCCTGTATGCTAAATGGTCGTATACTTGTATAGCCCTTTTCTATGCATTGTAGCACACTCAAAGCACTTTCACACTACTTGGCCATTCACCCATTCGCACTCCTCACGCATTCACACACCAGTGACATCACCAGGAGCAACTGGGGGTTCAGTGTCATGCTCAAGGACACCTTGACACGTAGAATGGACAAGCCGGGAATCGAACCGCTAATCCTCCAGTTAGGCAACGATCCACTCTACCTGTATTTCCTTCCAGAGAGCAGGAGGGCAACAGTTCATGTCCAGGGTACATATTGTCCTTTAGGAAATTCCTAGCACTGCCGAGACATCATGAGCTAGCAATAACCTCCAGAGAACGCAAAGGGCATCTGATGATTTTCTCAGCAGTTCTTATAATCCTCTGAAGTGCCTTCTTGTCTGCAGCAGAGCAGCCAGCATACAACACAGTGATGCAGTATGTCAAAACGCTCTCAATGGTGGAGCAATAGAACATCTCGGTTTTGTGGAGCATCCTTAAGAAGTGTAGTGTCTGCCTTTTTGCCTACCACTGTGGTGTTTTCTGTCCAGGAGAGGTCCTGGGAAATGGTAGTCCCCGGGAAGCTAAAGGTGGAGACCCACTCCACCTTGTCCCTGTTGATGAAAAGTGGGGAAAGATCCTCAATCACAATTTCTTTGGTTTTCCTGGTGCTGAGGGACAAGTTGTTGTCTACGCACCACTTGGACAGTGCCCTCACCTCATACCTGAATGCTGACTCATCTCCTCCAGTTATTAAGCTGACCACAAACCGAGCAAAGAAACAATTCAGTTCCTCTGCCAGCTCTGCACTGGCATTTACAGGCACAGAGGGTCTTGCCTTTGCAGTTGGTAAGATGCTGCAGTCCCTGCCACACCTGCCATGGGTTGTTCTATGTCAGAATGCCCTTCCTCAGATCAACCCTTGCTGCACTGTACTGGGCCTTGTCCCTGGACCTGAATGCAGAGTTATGCACTTTCAAAAGAGACTGTACTTCATTGTTCATCCAGGGTTTTTGATTGGGATAAACCCTGGATTTGTTTATTAACAGTCCCATTTTCAGTACAGGTCTTGATGTAAAACAACACTGTCTCTGTATATTCTTCAAGGTCCAGGTTTTCGAAAATACTCAACTCTGTATGTGCAAAGCAATCCTGAAGCTAAGCAAGTGGGTGCTTCCGCTGGCCAGTTTTTTATAGTCCTTGCTCCAGGCTTGGTCAGTCTATTCAGCGGGGTGTATGCTGGGATTAGGATCAGTGAGAGATGGTCAGACAGACTCAGTTGTGGTCGGGGCACTGCTTTATATGCATGCTTTAAGTTAGAATATACACAGTCCAGTGTTTTTGTCCCCCCGGTGGCACAATGTACATACTGTACGAATTTGGTGAGCACTGTCTTTAAGCATGCTTGATTAAAGTCACTGGCAATTATATGCACTGCTTCAGGATAAGCCTGTTGCTGTTTGTTTATAGCATCATGCAACAGGATGAGAGCTATGCCATCGCTGGCAACTGGTGGTATATATACACAGCAGTAATGAGCAGGGCAGAGAGTTCCCATGGCAGGTAAAAGGGTCTACACAATACAGACATTGCTTCCAGGTCAGGACAGCAATGAATGTATATGATCTTACAATTAGTGCTCCAGCTATTGTTAATATCCATGCATAGACCCCCTCCTCTGCTCTTACCAGAGTCTCTGTTCCTGTCTTGCCGATGAATGGAGCGCCCTGCTAGTGATACTGCTGTGTCAGGTTCAGTGGATGTAGACAAGTCTTTGTATGGTAGCCAAGACATTTTTTGTGGTTTCAGCTGCTTTCAGCTCCTGCAGGTATCGTTTTGGTGTTGCAGTTTGAGTTAAAACTGAGACTGTCAAGAGAACTGCTCGATTTCAAAGCCAAGGTTGAGCTTGACTAGTGTTAAAGTCAGGTGTGACATACTGTTTGTTTTTCAATGGATATGGACAGTGACATCTCTGGCTAAACACCTGCCTGTAAAAAACAGTGCACGTTGGGCTCAATGACATCATGAAACAATGACCAGAATTTCTGAAGCAAACTTTTACTGATCTACTGAGATGGCTCTCAACTGCATGTAACATACAGAAAGTGCACTTCTTTGATCATTTTTTCTGTGGTCTTTCTTTGGGCAGATGGAATTTGACTTAACAAGTCAGGAGTGAAACTGTTTATCTCAAACCTTGTTTACGTTCTGCGTCACTCATCTGTTCCCTCTGTCAAGGACAAGAGACAAAAAGAGCCAAAACACCAAGAAGACATAACATGTTAGAAATCATGAAGGAGCACCACTGCAGGGCCTGCCTAGGGAGACTTTAAAACATGAGAGATATCAGTGTTCAGAGAAACAATCTCTCCCCAACCAACCACCAAAAGTGGGGACTCATACTCTTAACCTTCCCTGTGCCTCCATCCACACCCAATTCTCCCTCCTCCCCAGTCACCTAGTCACCCTCTCCGCCTCCTCTCTCCTTCTGAAGACCAGATGTTGGGACCAAACTGACACGTTGTCCCTTAAACCCTTTCTTTCATCTGTTGCATTCAGGGCAACATAGCCTTAGACCTTTTACTTTGTCTATTTGTTTTTATTTTAATTTTATGTATTTTATCTTATTTTAACAATGTTTTATCTTCACTTTGTCTTAACTGATTTTATTCTGGTTTCAGTGCTTATTTTTTTTATGCCATTACTGTTTGTTTTTGCCTATGTAAAGCACTTTGAATTGCCTCTGTGTATGAAAGGAGCAATATTAATAAAGCTGCATGGCCTTGCCATTTCCTTTAATTACAGCCATCTTTTCCTCACATCTTAGTCCTGCCCACTAAAAAGATGCAAGGAGAAGATGGGTGGATAGAGGGATTGAGTAAACAAGGTCAGATGGATGTGAGACATCCCTTCCTTCAGTGGCTGAGACACAAGTTCTTGCTTGTTCTGCTCTAGTCTTTGTGTGACTCAGACCTCTGGCAGCTAATGGGTAGATTTCCAAATGAAGGGAGCTACTTAATGGCCTTTGTGTTTCTTCTGCTCTGTCATCTCATCTCTGTCCACACTTCACAACATCCTGTGAGCTTGATGAGGCCTGAGTCCAGGAAGCTACGCCAATTTTTATACACCTGTATGTTTGATTTTTGGGTGTAATTTAAAAGAAATACTGCTTTACTGGCATCTATATAAACAAAAAAAAATTTTGCAAGGATCATTATCTTCTAAGGGTGTGTATTTGAAAAACCACATTAAAGATTGACAATTTTAATTGTGGTTATTTTGTGTTTGGTTTGTAAATTGAGCTTTATGCAAGAATAAATTAATATCAAGGTGAATTATTTAATTCTTTGAACATGCTACTCAAATTACCACTAGTAATCTTGATTCAAATTATAATGGCATGTGTGGTCTGAAACTTAAATGGCTCATGGCATGTTTTTCCTTGTTTTTTGACTTATCTACAATATTACAATGGTGAATTATCATCTTAGACATGACCTAAAGCTCAAAAAATAAGGTGTACATATGTACACCTTATTTTTTGCCAGTTCTTTCTAGTATTATCTTTCTAGTATTATCAGGCCTTCTGCATAGAAGCAACTCGGTTTACACAAGTCTCACAAATGTCACAATGCTGCCTGCACTATGACCAGAGGATGTGGAGAAAAATACAGGGCCTGAGGTTACTGCATGTCCAGGAGTGTTCCTGTACAGGGATTCACTGTTTTACCTGGCCAGGTCTAACCTACAAGCAGCCAGCCTGTGAAGACCCCCGCTGTGGTGAATGATCAGCTCGTCAACACTGGATTCCCCTGTACCTGTTTGTTTTGACTGCTTGAGGGCAGTGTGTCTGCTGCATGTGATGTGTTGCTGGTTAACCAGCAGATTAACGAGCTATGATGTTATTATCTGCGCTACGCTACCTGTTGGAATTAATTTCACTACTTTGAGACTGCATGTGGTCATGTGGGGGAAGACGCAGCAACCACAGATTGGATTTACCAACCTTGGAGCTACTTGAAAAGGAGTGATGTTAGTGGGACGTAACAGTAAGTTAAAAAACATGATGCATGTCTGTTAATGCCTTGTTTCTGTAACGTTAGAGAGAATTGTTGTAGGGCTGGAGAAATTACTATGTCTGCATTATGCCAATTAAAATATGGGCTCTCTAATTACACACTATTTGGAGTTATGAGGGATGCCAAGCTAATCTAGAGGTACCCAAGATTAAACATTAAATGGCTGAAAACAAGCAAAATGAGCATGCCACAGGCTCTTTAAGGGTTTTCAGGATCAAAACAACTAGAACACTGGCACTAACAGGAACCTCTGAATGTGTGTATTTGTGTGTATGTAGGTGTGCTGGGGTATAGTACCTTGGCCAATCTTGACGAAGCCAATTATGATGATGAGGCCGAGTGCTAGAAGCTTGGCTGCAGCAAAGAAGTCCTGCACCCTGGTGGCTGCTTTGACACTGTAGCAGTTCACAAAGGTCAACAAGACTGCAGAGAAAGAGAGAGACAGGTCTGTTATTAAACAGCTATTTGGTTCTTTGGACCCCATTAAAAATGATTAACTAAAGCAGCAAGTCCATTCAAAGCTCCTGAATCAGGCTGGGGCCACAAAAGCAAGACAGAGGCAGAGCACAATGAGGCTCTGTGTTATAGAAACCAAGACAAAGAGAGAGCACTCGAGTACAGTAGAGGGCTGCACACACTGGCATCCAGACTCACACTGGCATTCACACACACACAACAGGCTAATACTTGGGCATGTGCATGTATGTAAAAACAAAAACACACTGATTCAATTAGAGAAATTCTCCAGAAACAGGTCAAATGGAACAATGACTGAACTCTGCAGTGACCCTGACAAGGTACCCCACTGCAGTACCTTCACCACACGCACAGATAACAGATCCTCTGGGTCCACAGCCTTGTCATGTGACCTCAGTCAGGATTTAGCCCTCAGTCCATCTGCAGATTAGTTACTTGGGTTATTGCCTGGCACCACACACACACAACAAAATACATGCATACACAATGTTATGTCAAGTGTAATTGTGTAATCTGAAAGAAATTAAGTGAAAGGCCAGTAGTTTTTGTAGTGGTCAAAGACAACAAGAAGAGACTGGTACTAACAGGCTAAAGTAGCTAATAATCCAGAGTTAATCTTGCTAAGACTCAATCAAAGAAAATGCCTGTTGTCCTACTTGACAGTTTTGTACAGTAACATCTGTCTTATGCAATCTTAACAACTAACTTCAGCTTGCACCTTATTAAATAGTATGAACATCTTGAACACTGGTTTAAACAACAGGCCTTTTTTTTTTTTTACTTGTCAGAGCATGATCTCTTGTTTATAGGACACATGAGCAGCCTCTTAAAGTTCATATAGGCCTATAAAAATAAATGATAATTTCTTTCTTCTGGCCCAAAGTTGTTTAGTTAACTACACAAAAATGGCAAATAATAATTTAACTACTTGAATCACTATGCAAATATGAATATAATTGAACTATAAAGCATGCTCCTGTAAAATCTAGTTACAGCTAGTTTAAAGATGTAGTTAACTTCTCCCTGATTACAGGATAACGAGATTGATGGACCCTAAATACAGCATTACAATAAATAAATATTACAAAGAACAAAACAGGGAAACGTGTTCACTAAATATTAAGTGTAAACGAACACATGCGTAAATAAAATTCCCATAAATTGTGTTTGTGATGAGTATCACATAATGAGACAATCTGGTGATCCGCGAGTATCGAGCTGATGTAACAACGTGCCATCTTTCACCACGTGCGTTTGAGACTGCGCGCTTGAATGTATGCGATTGCGACACGTGTCTCACTGGCATCGCACACGTAAGGTACAGGACTGAGGATGTTCATGTTTACTGTACGTGTGGAGTCAAAGTTATTATCTCGTCTGTAACCCAGACTGCACAGTGTGTCTGTGTGCCTTCATTCAGCCGCACAGGTGTGTGTTGGTTTTGGCACACTCGGGTGCCACAACCCAACACACACCTGTGCTTAAAGTTGCATCGCCTCGGATCGAGTACTCACGGATGCAGAGGCAGGCCAACAGCTTGGCCCCGGTGTCCGGCACCAGGCATTCGGGGAACAGGGGCTTGAGGAGGTTGGTAGCAAAAACGTAAGCGACGATGTACTGCGAGGACGGGCGAATGATGAGCAGCTCGATCCAGAGTTTGAGGAAGGCCAGCAGGGAGCCGTACACCTCCAGGATGTAGGCATAGTCCCCGCCGGACTTGGTGATGGTGGTCCCCAGCTCCGCATAGCAGAGGGCTCCCACGGTGGAGAAGACCCCGCACACTGCCCACACAACCAGAGACAGCCCTACCGAGCCGGCCTCCTTCACCACGCCGGTCGGTGTTACGAAGATGCCAGAGCCTATGATGGTACCCACGATGATGGCGACACCGTTCACCAATGTGATGGTCCGCTTTAGGGTGACCCCTTCCTCTCCGGTGGCGTTTTCTGGGCTCTTTCCGTCGCTTCCTGATGCTCCACCCTGGTCGCAGCCCTTTTCCCCGCCGCTGCTTGCGGGGAGCATCCTTTCCATAACCTGCTTGTCCTCCTCCCGGTCCGCGGAGTAATTTGAATTTCTTTTCTTTAACCCAGACATCTTTGAATGAGTTTATCCTTTTTTACTTTCTCACTCGGGAAACCCAAAGCTTCCGTGTCTGCTGATTCTCTCCTTTTGCCGCCGGGCTATTCTTCTCTCTCGTTCCGGTGTGTGATCTGAAGACGGACGCACTCAGAGTCGCCACGAGGAAGCCGCGAGTTACAAGAACGTGGTTTCCCGACTCTCTGTGCCGTCAGTGCTCTGAGGAACTGATTGTTGAAATAGGTGTGATGGCCCTCCTCTCCATCAAGTCCATCCCCTGCACTAACATTCTCTCCAACACCCTAGCGACTGAGAACGGTACTACACCAATACGTTCAGCATTCATTTTATATTACCCCACTAGTTCCCCATTGATATGTGGTTCCTCCGACATTAACATAACCTAAACCTATCTCCAACCCTAATTAGTCGTGTCTTATAATATCTGACTTTAACCACACCTCCATCTCTGCCTACTCCGAAGTCTTGGGATCTAATGTTTACCAATAGTCAGACACAGGTTAGGCCCCTAAGCACAGACAGGTTAGTCAGAAACGTCTTCGACCTAAAAACCTAGTCCAGTTGATTTTTCTAAGTTTTTTTTAGCTTATGATGACCTGGATGACTGAGAATCTGCATGGAGAAGGTAATGAAAGGTCATTACCTTCTTTCCATTTTCCATGTCTTTTTTCAGTTTTCCTTTTCATTCATAAACTGTAAAGCTTGTGATTGTATTTCATGTTTCTGTTTGTCTTTCCATGTGTTTTTTATTGCTAGCCTCCAGTTTCTCTGCTCCTTTTCTCACTCATTTTAATAAAATGCATGAAGCCTAACATAGTATTGGCCAGAACAGACTCCATCAGTCTTAGCTTTTCCATCAATAAAACATTCTCTCAGCAGCATCAATCCCGAATTGGTCAGTGACAAGTAATAAGGATACTGTAATCACCTTTTTTGGCCATGTATGTTACACACAAGGAATTTGTTTCCAGTACAGGACTGAGGCAGCCATCGGTGGCGCCAACTCACACTGACGGCTCTAACCATTGTGGGCAACTTGGGGGTTCAGTGACTTGCCCAACGACGGAGGCACCAAGATTTGAATCTCAGACTCTCCGGTTGGGAGACGACTGCTCTACCACAGTCACCCACAGTTCACTGTAAGTTGAATTCAAAGAGGTCCAGTGTAAAATATACAAAATAACAGTCTGCCATTTCCTTTTTATATTACGGTCTTGAGTTGTTGAACAATTGTCTGAATATTTGCTTTTTTACTTCCACTTAATTCATTTGTTGTATTTGCATTTAGGCTAAAGATATACCTATTTGCATGTTACCCAATAAGTTACTAGTGAAGAACCTGAACTTCTCTCACTGACAGTTCATAATTATTTGTAGAAGCGCTGCCTGCTTGGGTTTTTTAGTGTGGTGATGCATTAGGACCACATGGAGGAAGAATTTTTAATTTTGTGTGTCGAAAATAAAGTCAAAATGTCAAGAATCAATTCAAAATGTCGCGATTAAAGTAGAAGTTTTATTAGAAAAGAGAAAGAAATATAGAAAAGAGTTGAAATTGAAGCTTCACACTTCGACTTTATTCTTGACACAAAATTTACCATATTACTCTGTCATACTCTATAATTATGTTAGGAAACACAGTTTACTTTTATGATTTGTATTTTTTGGACATCATTGCACACTTGGTTACTTACCCTCACTTTTCTTCTTGAAAAAGCCCAGAAGACTTTTTTTTTTTTTTATTGCCACCATGCCTACATATCTGCTTCTACATCTGCTACGATGGGATGGGAATACCCCCATCCTCCTTCATGTGCAGCAATTACTCCCCCCTCCCTATGACAGTGCAAGAAAAGTTCCACTCTACGGGAGAGCCCAACCACAGTCGTGCTACACTGAGATTCTTCCCTTTTTAGGACCATTCAGGGACAAAATTTGGGGCTAAGCTCAAAATATTCAGGGTTTTAGCCCCTAATGATGCAGTTTAATGACACCACTGAATCTGGCCCATCTTCTCCAAAACCCAATTTGAAACATCTGACTCATGAATAGAATACAGGGTGTCACCGATTTAACATATGTATACATAAGTACATAACATATGTAACATAAGTATTTATTTGTAGTAGCCACTTTGCATCCCTCTGAGGCTGGGTATGCTGAAATGCTTCTTTTGCACACATTTTTAGCAGTCAAATTAATTCCCATCAGTTTTGAGCATTGGTATCACCCAGTCTTGATGGGGTGAATATGTTCTGAAAGTGGCTGCCACCAGACAAAATTCAAGTTGGGCGAGCCTGTCATTTGGGCTGTTGAGATAAGTGAGCAAGCTAGACCAGCTGCATACTCAAAGGAAAATCCTGTTTGGCGTGGTCACATGTTCTAAGAGACAGGTTTGTGACCTATATCGCCACCTCTGATTAGGATTTTCAGGCTTGTTTAGATTGTCCCATCTCATTCAAAAACCTCTGATGTTGTCAACTGGTTAACAAGATCATGTGATGGATTTAAGTTTGGTTCCATTGTTTCTTCCCATAATGATTTCCATCTAACATTTGTTAAACAGACTTTGTAACATATCTAATACACTGCAATTTCTTCCGGGCCATGGCACCCTTGAGCCTGATTTTAGAAATGCTTGTTCCGGGGCCATGGTTTTGATCAGCTTCTTTTATGACTGAAGTACATTTTATTAGTGATGTGACGTTCCGTATCGAGGCCTCGAAGCGTGTGCCGAGTAGGGGAGGGGGCGTTTCCGCGATGCGCGTATCGAGGCTTGTGTCATTTAGATGAAGAGCTGAAAATGATGACGTCCGAAGCCTCGCTGCCCGGTTGTACTACGTGACTGATTCAGGAAATGGTTCGGATTTTGCCGCGAGTTTTGACAGCGATATAAACCCCTCAGGCTCCATTCAAAATGTGGGTGTTTGATGGAGAAAAAGAAATCGCCTAAGACCTGCCACAGTGGAGAAACTGTTGTTTTTAAATAAAAACCAATTATGTGTCCCCTAAACCATAATCACTGGCCATACCTCAACGTTACAAAAGCACAATCATTGTCCATACCCTAACCACCTTCACCTCACTGTAAATAATCATTTCCATTTTCATCATTTCCAAATAATCATTTTCCATACTGCCAGTATATACATATACACACACACACACACACATACAGTATACTGCCATCACTACAATATACATGTTTTGCATACTTCTTTATTTTGCTGACAGTTTTATTCACAGGCTTTCTGCAAAATGCCACACACTTCAAATTCATGCCAACTGATATTGTTGCATCCAATAGATGTTGGAGTGAACCAATTGGATGAAAGGCTTCATTGCTTCATGAAGCTTCATCAGACAGAGTTAGTACATGCAGTTAATTGGAGACTGTGCATCGACCTGCGTGGTGGAGATGTTGCGGGGTTGAGGAGGTCCATGGTCCAGAGAAGCGACAGAGGCGAGGAGGCTGAGACAAAGGGGCACAAGACTGGAACGGGGCTAGGGCAACAAAACGTGAGTACAATATAAAGCTAAGAACAACAAGAAACAAACAGGCCTGATAATACTAGAAAGAACTGGCAGGGGAGTGAACGTAGAGCAGGGAATAAATAGGGAGAACTAATCAGGTGCAGCTGGTGGTAATCAGGGGATATGAAGCAGGTGTGTCGGATAACGTAATCAAGGTAAGGGAGCAAAAACAGAGTGAGGGAAGTGAGAAAGGCAGGCGGGCAAACCTGACAAACCTTGTGTTCATATTTCACATGCAGAGTTCCCAAACCAGTTCTACACTGGCTTCTATGAACAAAACACACACAAGGGTAAAACACTAATGAAACAAATACATCTACAGCACTTGCCTGTTCAGTGTCCCAGGGGATAGGATCATATTTCTGCATTCACTGGGTGAGAGGCAGGAGACACCTTGCACAGGATGCCAACACACACAGCCACACTTGTAAGCAAATCAAAGGAGCTCACTCATCTGACCTGCATGTCTTTTAACCAACTGTGCTACATTTTTGAATAAACAGGGAAGAAGGCTGCAGGAAAAGGAGTGGCAGTGGAATGGGGCAAGGTTTTGAGAGTGTGGTTTCAGTGTGGCCTCATCTGAAGTGCCAGGGTTTTAAGTTTAAGACAAGGGCTAGTGGAGTGGACTTGGTGGTGCTGAAAGAGAGGATTGGTAGACTGAATCTAATTAAATCAAACTTTATTTATATAGCACTTTTAAAACAACAACTTGACTAAAATTCATCAGATCCTGCCCACAACCCTCACAGATGTATCAAGTACAACAGTTTTAGAAACATCTGTAAGACCTCATTTACAGTATATTTAGACTGTTTCTCTCCCATAAATCTCTCTGAGCTGACTTCAACAATTGCTTCATCTAATACCGCTTTCCCACCAAAAGTATCGATCAATCAAAAATTTTTTATATAGTACTTTAAAAGCAACGTCTGGTCGAAGTACTTTACAAGAGCAGTGTAAAAACCAGAATAATTAATGTCAATAGAGAAATAAAACAACATAGGAACATAAAGACACGAACTACACAGAACCAACAGTTAAAAGAAGGAAGCATCAGACAATACTATGTATTAAAAGCCAAAGTGAATAAATATGTTTCAACCAATGATTTAAAAGTTGTCAAGTCTGTAGATGATCTAACATTAAAAGATAAACCATTTCACAATTTAGGAGCTGCAACAATAAATATCATGTATAGATGAATTTTTTAATACTCGGCTAAACAAGCCTTTAACTGGCTTCTGATGGCTTTCCCATGCCGACTGACCTGGCTCAGCTCTCCAGCAGATGAGCTTCTTTCCCCTCTGATAAGTCATATTTGACATCATCACATTGGTGATGTCAAATGCATGCACTGGTAAACAGATCTGTTAACAAAGCATCATGGAAAATAGTGAGATGTCAGTGTTATTTGTATTTACATTTGTTCATCTTCCAAAGTATATCCGTGCAGATCTTTTCAGCTTCCAAAGTATAGAAACTCAGCACAGACTGAACCATGTTATAGCATTGAATGAACAAAGATGAATGGAATTAATAGTTGACATGCTGATGACGACGCATGCGTCACTGTGTACATTCATGGTTTTAGCTGAATTTGGCTTTCCCACTGGTCCCAAGCCTGGACATGACAAGACAAAGTGGATAACGACCCGTGTCGATTGCAGTCATTTGTCCCAAAAGTTTCACTTCCACTGCCATCAAAAGCTGAGGTGTGGCGAGTTTACATGGGTTTTTTTGGGCAATGGAAAAGGGGCTTAAATCATCCCAA